TGCGCTTTACACAATTGATGTGTGTATGGATTGTGATAAGAGTTGTATGAGCCCCTAATAAAATGATTTTTTTTTTAAATAAAAATAAAATTGAAATATAATGAAAAAGGTTCAAAAAAAAAAAAGAAGTCTTGTGTAGCGACTTGTCCATGGCGATATGGTGCATGCCTTCTTGGCTGCTGCTTCCCTGGGCCTCGATTATCGATCCTCGGGTCAGGATGCTGTTGGTAGGTGTGGGTGGGCTTTCCAGATCAAAGAGAGATGATCTGGTACAGATGTGCGCCTGCATCCACCTGTGGGAACTCAGGACATGCACCTTGGGAAGAAGAGAAAGGGCCCCGATAATGATGAAAACTCCAAATCCCAAAATGGTAAGTGACCATCCAAGCCACAACAGTGGGTGTCTCCTCACCTGGAGCAATAGAAGGAGGAGGAGGAGGAAATAGAATGTATGGTGTGTTAGTCCAGGTAGACTAGAGAAACAAATCCATGGAGACACTCATAGTTCTATAAGGAAGAGGATTATATACAAGAAGAATTGAATATTAAGAAAATGTCCCAGCCCAATCCAGATCAAGTCCATAAATCCAATATTAGCCTATATGTCCGATACTAATCTATAAAGTCCCCTTCAGACTCATGAAATACATGTAATGCAGGAGATTCACAGGCCAGTGGGTGGGAAGTCTTGTGGATCCAGCGGTGTTGTGAGCATCTCAGCGCTAGCTGAGGGGTCTCTACGTGGCTTCTCCGGCTCCAGAGGTCTGGTTGCATCAGGGTAGGTCCATGTGGCTTCTCCAGCTCCCAGGGTGTAGCGTCATGTGTCTTGTCAGTAGAGTGTCTACAAGGGAGTGAGCCGAGAGAGTCTCTCCTGCCTCCAAGGAGGAAAAACCAGATTTCCCAGAATTCTCAGAAGAAAGCCATGCCCACACAGAGGCCTCATTGCTTAGATCTTGATTGACAGGCCAGCCTCCACCCCTTCACTCATAATCCTCTCAAATTGACACCAGATTATGTAGCTCCCACAGAGGGTTAACTGTCTCTATGAATAGATAACTGCCTCCTTTGCCAGGAGACCAGAAGATCTGGGTGGTGCCCAACTATCATTCCTGCACATTTTGATCAGAGAGTCTATAGAAGGATCCTGAGGAGGAGGAGGAACATGCAGAACAGAAGTTCAAACGCTCACGGATACTGGACTTTCTGGAGCCATAGAAGGTGGAGGAACTCTTGAAACTATTGTCCTGAGATCAACTTTCAACCTAAAGTTAAAAATAGCCCTGAAGTCATCTTGAACCAAAGTAGCTTCACCAGTAAAGAACCCTGGCTTCAGGGTTGTGCTCTTTTAAAAAAACTACGTAGGTGGGATCAAACTGACAAGAGCCACTCAAAAGGTCAGATCGGAACGTGAGGAGTTGATGTCCAAGGGTAAGAACAACCCAAGATAGGAAGGTGGGCTTTCATAGCTCACGAAACGTCACCAGGGTCACTGAGCTGGACATGTAGAAATGGTTGACTGGATACGCGTTGCTAAGCATATTCCCAACAACGGATTCGTAATGACTTAAAAACCAACATGTATTCATTTACCTGCTCCTGGGGTCAAGATTCTCTTTCCACAAAGGCTTTCTTTGGGTCGGCGGCCTCTCCCTCTACGCAGAAGGTGTTGTAACGCCTGCGCACCTGGTTCACACTGTTGGAGCATGTCTGCAATGTGGGTGCCCCGGCCTGCCACTTGCCCACCTCACAGGGATTCTGCCCTCTAGCAGCCCCAATCAGTACCCCTTTCTCTACACGCCATACTGCCTCGCTCCTCTGTTCCTTCGTTCCCTCTGAGTCCTCCATCTGAGTGGCCGCCCACCCCCAGCCCATCTCCTCTTGAGTTTCACCTGCCTAGCTCCCACTTATAGGAAACAAAAATCCCCCAGCTGGACCAATAGACAACAGCATGATCAACGGAGAAAAGATGGGTGGCGCCAAGGGTCTCATTTCACTTGGATCTGCAGCCAAGGCTCACGCAAACAGCAGTCGAGAAATCAGATGACGTACCGCATTGGGCAGATCTGCTGCACAGGACCTCTTGAAAGTGTTGAAGAACCAGGTATCACTTTGAGGGCCAAGGTGCACCCGACGCAGACCATGGCCTTTCCAATCAGGCTTTGTGCACATGACGAGCTGGAAAATTAATCGCGAGGGTTGGAGAAGAACTCATGCGTTGGAATTAGGGTGTTGACCAAGAATACCACAGACGGCCAGAACAAACAAGTGTTGAAGATATTCAGCTCGAAAGCTCCTTGGAAGCAAAGTGGTGAGACGTCCTGTCACGGATGCTGGACGTGGCATCAGGAGTGACCAGTCTGTCGAGGAAGGACACCAGGCTCAGTAAAGTAGAGGGTCGGTGGGAAGGAGGAAGCCCCTCGATGAGATGGACAGAGCGTGGCTGCAACATTGGGCTCGGGTGCACCAATGGCGCAGACAGCGCAGGACTGGGGCGTCTCGTTCCATGTCGGCGCTCTGAGTAGGAGCTGACTGGATGGCACCTCCAGCAACACCTCCCATTTAGCCTTGGGACTAATCAAGATTCAAAGGAGCTCAAGTGGTTTTGCATATCTATTTGGGGCACCTGTTTAGTGCAAGGTGGGGGGTGGGGCTGGGTATAGAAATAGGACAGGGAAATAAACAAGGCCTTCCTCTGCAGAAAGCAGCCTTCTCCTTTCCTGAGCGCACAGGCATCAGCAACGGATGCCATCGTCAATGCCACAGGCATTTCATTCCGGCACTGACTGCCAGGGACAGGAAAGGGCCTGAGGGCTCTCCTCATTTGTCCGAGATTTGAGGAAACAGGGATTTATCTCTGCTGATAAGACCAGGCTGATGGGAAATGTATCTTCTGCCTGTGAAATAAAGAACGGCCTCTCGCCAGGAAAGGAGAGGGTGAGGGCAGATTCGAGAGTAGGAGGCAGTTCGTGGCACAGCTTAGAAGCTTTGTTGATGGATGGCAGGCAGGGGCATGTACACCTAGAGTGGCAGGCGGTGCAGGGTGAACACACACAGAGACAGAGGTGCATGGTGGGTGCCATTGGTGGGAATGGGCACACGGGTGAGGTGGGGGCAGGTTCTCTGAGCCCACCAGACAGGAGTGAAAGTGATCATCCTGGAAATATTTGGCTGGGGAGAGCATGCAGGCAGAGGGAAGAGCAGACCCAGACCCTGAGTTAGACCCTGGACAGCGAGCAAAAGGAACAATACGGGGGGGGAGGTGGTGCATATGGCTAAAGCCTCAGGCTGTTCACTGAAAGGTGGCAGGTTT